TGTAGAAGAAAGCACTGGGAACATCTGAGAGTTTTTAAAATGCTTTTCGTGGTACAATTAATGCCCAAGCCAATCAGAATTTATGACAATGTGTTTTAAATCAAAATAAATCTGGTGCTGAATGTGGCACAGATATATTTTATATGCAAAAAAATATCTTTTTTTTTTTTTTTTTTTTTTTTTTTCTCCTGTCTACAAAGTATAACTGCTTGACACTTCAACTCTGGGAAACTAATTGAAGGATTAATGTGATGTATAAAACCTTTATTCATAGATGGGAATCTGCAGACATTTACATGTGGAAAATTGAACTACAGTTTTATTTGGGTTTTTTTTCTGGCTTTATAATGGTAATACATTAAAGGATTTTAACTTGATAATATACTTAATCTGTGAACAAGCATTCTAAGATTCTTTACATGGTTGCAAATTGATACGGAAATATAATTTTCAAGTCCTGTGTTCACACTGAATTACATAAATAATTAATTAGTCCTGCTGCAGCTAAAGTTTCATTCTTTTTGTAAGGTATCAGCCAATGTTTTCTTTCACTCCAGAAAGATGTCATCAGATACTGTGTTTCCATAGAGAACTATACAGTTGCATATAGTGCCTTTTTTAACTAATTAGTATCCAGGAAGTACGTGAGAAAAACCCCAAAGTATTGTGTTTTTCAAGTTACTTTTAGGTTGTGGTTAACTTCCTTAACCACATATTTTGATGAATCAAAGCAGCTTTGATTGCCGAACAACATAAGCATAAGTAAAAAATTTAAACCCATGGTTTTAAAAGATCAAATGTGAAATACTTGAAAGTGCACTTTTCTCTGAAGATGTTGTACAGTTAATCTATCCTATTAAAAGAAAACATTCACTGTCCTTTATTGTGAATCATGGAATGATTGGAATTCAGTTCAATCTCCCGCTCGAAGCAGTGTTGACACTGAAGTCAGGCAAAGTTGCTTAGGACAGCCTGCTCCAATAATAAAGCAGTTATCCTCATCGATAAATTTCTGTAGTCCCATTATCTTTGTCTGTCTAGTCTTCCTAATCTGTCTTCTTTTTCTGCCTTCTTTTCACTTACCAACTTGTTCTGTGTACTCCATCCCAATGTTACACCTTGTTCGTAATTCATGCTTCCCATTTCCTCACTGGACATCATTAACTTGTGCCTAATTGCCACCTTTCATTTCACTCTCACTTCTGTTGGTCCCTGTGTCCTGGTGAATCGCGGTTTCTTCTTCCTGCCATTTCTCCCACTGCCTCTGTGTTTGATAGGTGTTAAAACTGGAAGTTATTGAAGAATTTTTGATTTTCTGCTCTTGTCCCAGTCTCTAGTCTCGTTTGGGTCAGGATCAATAATTCAAATAAAACTGGATATTGTTCCAATAGCCCCAGACATTCTCAGCTATCCATATGCAGTCTTGGGAGGGGAGGGAGCATGCCTACTGCCAGCAGAACCTTGGAAATTTCGTCTGTTAAACTTTGAGGTCAGAAATGAATATGCACAAACTGAGGCTTTTGCAAATCTCAGAGCTTTCCCATATTTAGGAAGATTCCATGAAAATGGTAAATGGACACCTGACAAATGATAAATGGACGCCTGACAAATGCCAAATTTTCCTTGCTCTAAATCAGGGAACACCAGGACTTTAAAAAAAAAAAAAAAATTAGTCACCACTACAGTGATAGTTTTTTCTCTTCAGCTCATTCTTGCTCACAGCTTAACTATTTTTTTTGGAACTTAAAAACAAACAAAAACCCTTCAGTGTGAGGCAGAGTTGCCATAAACTTCAGCTATAACTAGTGATTTTAATTAAATTATGAACAACTCCAAACAGACTTCTGAAAGGAATATCAGGTCATCTTCGTATGATGTGCAACCAAGATCTTTTGTGAACAAAGGGATTTTTTTTTTCCTATTTGCTCATGGTAATGAAAATGTTTAAAAAGTTTCAGCTTCCTTTCCTCTCTGATCCAGAATATAATTCCACTTTTCTCACCTTGTTGCTCTGCTTGATGCAGCAGGACATGTCATCCTGAGGGACTGATGGGGAACTCTGTAACTCTGTGCATCTTTGTATTTCTGTTGTACTGTCTGAAATTGAAAATACCATATGCCTGCTCCTCCCTGTTGCACTGTCTGTTTTATTCTGGCCCTATTAGCAGTTACACTGTGTTCTTATATTTCTTGTTCTTTCTTGGACTTCAGTGGGTTGGAAAGTGAAGGTCAGATTTTGAAGGTTTCCAATTATTTCTAGCTTTGCCTTCATTTCTTCAGAAGACAATGTTCCCAACAGTTGAGAGTTGCTCGTGTTTTTCCTAACTTTTCTGGTATGATCTAATAAAACAAGAAAAAATTTTACTCAGGTTTGATATTGACTAAGTAGAGGTTCTAGTCTAATTGCGTGTTCCCTTCCATCCTTTTGGGACTTCTTTGGTTGCCATTCTGGTATTTCTTTAGTAATTTTGTCAGGATGGGTGGTTCAAAGTTATTGGCAGGTTCTTTTTCATGTGAAAATTTTCAGACTTCTAGGCACAATGTTACGTGGTCTCTTCTGGTCAGAAGTAAAAAGTGAAGCAAAAATAATTTTCATAGTTTCAGATAGGTGTGGATGTCCAGCTCAAAATAAAAGTGCAAATCTGACCAATTCCTTTTAGATGGTGGAAGGTGCATTTCTTTTGATCTTTCTTTTCTGGTTTTTAAAACACACCTGTGTAATTATTTAAGAACAGCACCACAAACACAAATGTTCCCTGTCATCCCGCAAGACAAACTGAGGAGGTTGTGGAACTGTGTGTGTTTCTCAGTCAGCACTTTTACATAGATGTATGAGCCCAGATTTACAAAGGGCATATGTAGACTCAGAGAATAATTTAATTTGGAAGGCTCCTGGGAAAGTAATTCACAGTTCAGCCCCCTGCTCAAAGCAGGGCTGACGCTGAAGCTGGATTCTGTAACTAGTCTAGGCAATCTGTTCCAGTGATTAACCCCTCTTATTCTGGAATTTTTTCCCCTCACCTCCAACTAGAATTTTCCTTGTTCTTGCTTCGGGCTATTGCCTCTTGTCCTTTTGTATTGCGTATCTGAGAATGCAGAGTATGTTGCCAATTTTTCTTTAATCCCACTCCTTTTTACATAGTGAAAGATGTTGCCATGCAGCATTGTACTCCTAAAGTGAAGTGCCAAGATCTTGGCAACCAAAATTCATAAATCTGATAAATCTTCATAGATCTTACATAAACAGAAAAAATTCAACCCCCAAGAATGGTATTTATGGTAGTGAGTACAGGGACACCTAGTCTAGCAAAAACAGCAGGAAGAAAGGGATATGCGAAATCCTAGCTTTCATCCAGATGAATGCAGCCATGTTCAATCCTGAAAGATGCCCCTCTGTGTGTTGAGGCCACTAAAAACACTCTGAGTGTTAAGGTGTCTGTTACCTCAAGGTCTCACTCTCCCTCTTTAGAATGCAGGTTTGAGACATAACTGATATAAGAGTCTATAATGTTTATTAATTGATCAGCACACTACTAATAAACCAATTAACAGATTAATTAACTAATAAACATACCACTATGAATCACTTACAGTTCCATAATGCTTTACACTATTGTTAATTGCATGCAGTTATTGAGTTCTATCACTTTATTCTTACAAATTGCACCCAAATGTTATTGAATTACAGTTCTATAACCCTTCACTTTGACCTCCCACACTACTTATTAACAAATTTGCAGTTCTGTCACTCTTTAACTTCTCACATCAAGTCTTTCAGATGTAGACCCAGTGGAGAGTCCAGTGGGTTGCCCAAAGGGCTTCCCTCTGACATCCTGGCAGCCTTGATTAACGAAGCAGGTCAGCTTCATTATAGTCCGTGGGCATCTGCATTCCTTCTGTCAAAAGATCTGACCTCTTTTGTTCTTGAACTGCTTTTATAACTTGTTCATTATTTCTTACATTTCTAGACCCTCTCTTTTGCCACCCTTCTATATCCCTTTCTCTACTCAGTCTCCTTTCTTTCCCAATTGGTCCAATTTGCTACATCCATTCCCAGATTTCTTATTTCTAAAAGCATGCCCTAGGTAATCTTGGCCTTAAATGGTATTCCTGATGTTGTTTTTTAGGTACTGATGGACTTGCAAGATTCTACCCCTGCAGAAGATGCCTGATACTCCCTTTCAGTTGTCTGCTTAATAGCAATTACATATTCTTTATTTTATGTGCTTTCTAAGACATGTCAGTCTACTTCAGCCTTTTTTCCTCTACCTGGTTTTGATTAAGTATGCTTTATCTCTATTCTACTTAGCTCTTTCTTGGTTTATACACAAGTGGCACATGTACCAGAGCAAAGAACATAGCGTTATGTGCTTTTTCTCATTCTGTTTTTTTGCTCGCACAGTATACTGCTTGTCAGGGAGCAGTGAGGGCCAGCTGGTCCCTAGGGGAAGAGGAGCCAGGAGCTGCACATAGCAAGGCTGACAGAGGCAATGGCCTCACCAGCAAGGGCTCAGTCCCTCCCCAGTAATACTGTCTCAGATTTGGCCCTGAGTCCAGGTAGCCAAACCTCCAGCCCCTTCCAGGAAGGGGAGATGCTCTTAGCTCCCTTCCAGTACACTCTCTCTCTCTCTGATGTTCCATCAAAAATCATCAGCCTTGGCATCTGCTGATAATCTCCCCATTTTCCGCAGAGATCCTGTCTTGTTATGGGGTCCAGTACTCCGGCAGAACCTCTTGCTCACAGTGTCAGTCCTCCCTTAGGTTAGGACCAGATACTTTTTTGTTCTTTGAAAAGATGATTGGAAGAGAAAAAACTGATGAAATTTAACAGTATTGAACATTAACTCAAATTTAAATGGTGGTTTTTCAGTTATATCTTGCATATATATTTTGAACTTTAGTAGTATTTATTAATGATCAATCCTGATAAATATAACTTTTACAAGTTAAACTTTTACAAGAGTTATTAAAATGTGTTCTTTCTGTTTCTTTTAGTATCTCCTGAAGCAATTGGATTCCTGTCTGCTGTTGGGGTGTTCATTATTCTCATGTTGCTGCTTTTCCTATATATTAATAAGAAGATGTGTTTTGAAAATGTTAGTGGTTTCCCAGATCTTGATTCAGGATACACTACAAGAAAGAATTCACAAGATAAACTTTGTAAGTATCTGAAATACAGTGTACTAAACCTAATTATAAGAATGCACATTTTTACAAGGATGTGTAGAAATACAGAAATAATCACTTGACTCAAGTGATGAAAACACATAATGTTGACTTTTCCCTTGACTGTGCAGTATGTGGAAACAAAGAAACCTTTGTATTCACAAGCCACAGAAATTCAACAGCTATGTAACCAAAGAATTGACATTTACTTATGGGAAGATATTTCTCTTGCACTATGAGAATACTCTTGACCATATCTTAAACGTTCCATAGTTGTGTATAATTAAATCTTCTCAAGTAAACTTGTGAATGGGATCATTGGGTTTTCACTCAGCCTATTAAAATCCTTCACCAACCTTTTGGAGAAGGTCTTGCATTTACTCAACTGTAAAATAATTTTAAAGAAGGAAAACTTTAGAAACTAAAGACATCTTATCTCTGACTAACAAATTATTTCTATACTTCTTTAATAGAATAAGGTCTTTAAGGATAATGTGAAATGAAGAAAATTAGACCTCAAAAAAGATATTGAGGGTTGGTAAAATAACCCCTTTCTGCTTTTGGGCTGTGGAAATTGAATGGGCTTTGTTAGCTGACTTGAGAGGAAGAGAGAGGCACCAGAGAACAGAATGGGAAATTTGAGAGGTTTTCTTCCCTTCTTCCCCTTAAAAAGATGCAGCTAAATTTTTATTTCAATTTTCTTGGAGACAGAAGAAGTTCTCACCCCTAGAAATTAAGTCTGTCAACTTTCTTTTTGCTACAAAACAAGTCTGCAGTTCTGAAATATCTTGCCTTATGTAAAAGACAACAAATATTTTGGGGTGAAGAAGTCTCCGTGATACGTGTTTTTATGTGCAGTTATTATGTTAAAAGCTTGTTTTAGTGCGACATTGATGAAAGGATGTAATTTAAATGTCTCACAACTTCTTCTTTGCAGGTTAGAATTAAAAAAAAACAAACATATTTCCACCTCACACAGTTGTCTTATTTTTGAAAATATTGAATTTTATTATGGCTAGCTGATGCTGCAGTTGATGAAAGACTATGGTTTTGCTGGTTGATTGTGGCTTCATTTCAAGATATTTACTTAGCTGCTTTCTTATTATTTTCAATGCATATTGAATGGAAAGAGCAAAGCTGCAACTTCCCTTGGTAAATGTATTGAGTTTGAGATAAAAAAAGCAAATAGCTCTGAACTTGGAGAAATGGAGTTGGTCCGTTTGTGAAACGGAGGACCTTTCTGTATTAAATGTTGTTGCTGAATAGGTTGGACAAATGGCATTTTTCAGAAACCTCCACCAAAATCTGAGCCTTCCCTCTGTGTCTTCTCTGGTTGACACACTTAGCAGTGCTGTGGATGACCTGACCAGTGTTGTTGGTGAAGTTGGCTACAGTGTAGCTGATTCAGTAACAGAACAAGTAACAAGCATGATAAATGGCCTTCGTGCCGAAGACGAAAGCTCCAAAATACAGAATGATAAACCTGTGCAAGGGAGAGAGGAACATGCACAGTCATTAACTCATTTTCAGGAAATTAATATGAAAGCGAAGAGAGGTATTGCAGAACAGAAAGAGACTCATTATTCTAATTCATTAGATTTTGTAAAAAAAGATACAAGTCAAGATGGATTATCTGACCATGTCATGGACAAAAAACAGTGCCAGTTAAAAGGCAGAGATAGTAATAATCATTTAAGTGATACAGAAGTACCTCAGGATTTGAAGAATGTAGGAGGACCTTTTAAAAGGGAAGCAGTAGGAGGAAATGAGTGTTTTGTAAATGATAAGTTCTTGAAGGATAGTAACCTGAAAAGTAATAAATTTACAATGGAGCAATCTGTTGAGGAACAAGATAATTGCCTACATGCAGTATCAGATAATTCTAAGAATCACTTGCATAGAAAAATCAAACCACTGTCACTTGGAGTTGATTTTAAGGATTCTGAAGAAGTGCATAGTATGAAGGTTCCCCAAGATGCAGAAACAAAACTTTTTGAAGCACAGAAGAAAAAATTATCAGACTCCAGCTTGAAGAAGACACACAATAACCGTCCCAATTGCATTAATGAAATCAAAGAAAAGAAATCTGAAGCCTTTTTTGACAGAAAAGGAAAATCTGTATCAAAGGATGAAGACAATGTGTCAACTACAATTGCAAAAGTGGGTAAAAAGAAAAACTCAAAGAAATCAGAAAAGAATTCAAGAGAGCTATGTAATAAGAAAACAGCAGGAAAAGGTGAGGAGTCTGTCAGCAAACTGCGTTCTTCAGCCTTTCCTGAAACTTATGATACTTCCTACTTTTTTCACCTAATTTACACATTTAGTAATAGTGTTTCCTGTGGATGAAAGTAGGTCTGTGTTGTCAGTGCTTCATTCTCTATGTTGATATTTCTTTGAAGTTAATTACTTTTTAAAGTATTACTGAAAGGAACCGATTAATAAATGCCTTTCCTACGTTCTAACTTTTCTTTTCCTATATACAGTTTTTCTTACCTTTTCTGCAGTGCTTTGTGTGGTTTCTGTTGAAAACGATGAATTAATTAATACTGGAAATTAACACTTGTTCTGTGAAAGGTGGTTTTTATTTTGTGTATTTTAAAAAATACTGCATAAAATATGATAAGGTGATAAAGAAAAAAACCCTTATGTTACATTTACATTATAGTAGGTCTTCAGAATGTATTTCTGCAATACGTAAGAGTAATTTCAAGATGCAAAACTCAATGACAAGTGGCAATTAAGTGATTTTAAGTACAGAAGGAATTGAATGAGGGTTTTCTTAAAATTGTAGTCTTAGAAAGAAAACCTATGTGTTGTTGATACGGATGCTGTGTGTGCCGTCTTCAACATCCAATCTTAAACAGTATGAAAATGGGATTGCAATGATAGTTTGTGAGTAAGAATTAAAACCTTGCATTTTACACAATTGTTTTGCAGACTCTGTAGTGAATTTTTAGAAAGCAACACAGGCTTTTCTGGAGAGGCTGTTTCTGTAGAGAAACGAATGATTTCATAATAGAAATCAGTTGTTGTTGTTGTTTTTTCCAGTGTGTGTGTTTTCCCTTATCTGAAAATTTCAGTTATTAATTTTGTTGGGTTTTGAGTTGTTTGTTTGTTTTTAATTTCATTTTGGAGGTGGTTTCCATGTTTGTATGATAAACTATGTTCTTATCTGTTATTTCTTCATGTAATACAATATATGTAAAGTATATTCTCTATCAAAAATGGCATTTTAGGTCCCATAATAAACAAATGAATAGCTTTCAATATGACCTGTGTTAGCCAAATAAAGGAAAGTTTTTAATAAGAACATGAATTCTCTTAGGCAAGTTTCCAACTAACATATAAAAATCAAAAGAGAAGTGGCAAGGAGAGGCATAAAACCCTGATGATTTTTTTTAATGTGCAGGAAGGTATTTTTTCCCAAGAAACTGAAACAGATTTGTATTGTTCATTTAAAAAATGTTTGCCTGGTTAGCTTGTGGTTTAACTTTAATTAGGTTTTTAAGTCCTCTGAAGAAGTCTTGTTTCCTGACTTGTAATAACAGTATACATCCTCATTCTATTTCTTTTATGCTAGGAACTGGAGAAAAAATATCTGGTATCAGTGAGAACTTCTGGGTGCTTACAAATGTCAGTGTATGATTAGAGGCATAACTTTCATCATTTCTTTTAAATGTGTTGCTACCATGTTTTATACTATTCCATTCTTTATGCAGGCTGATTAACGAACCTAATTTCATATTTGTGAATACATTTCTTGTAATGATAAATGATGCATCTAATACTGAAGTCTGGCATTATATGTTAGTCCTGGTATGTCCTGCTTTAATTACAGTTGTGGAAATCTGTAGAAGTTTCCTAGGTGGCAGGTTTCAACCTGTTGAGGGCCATGTGAGATACAAAATTTTACTCTGTGTACCAGCAAAGGAGGCTCCTTTTTCTGGGCAGCCTCTTGCAGTGAATCTGCTAGCCAGAACATACCTTGCTTGCTGTGATATTCTCAATAAGCGATCAGTGAAACTGAACTTGCTTTATAGCCATCCATACAATGGGAAGAAGTCAGACTTGAATTAAAATTGATAGCCTGGAGTTGAAAGATCTAGTAGCTCATTAACAGTCTTCTAAGGCACCTGTTTTCCTATAAATACTGAATTAAGATTACATACACATTGCATGTAGAGCTGGTAGCACCATCTGCAGTTAAGGTTTCCCGACATTTTCCATTTCAAGACCTTATTTTCAGTTGCTTATAACTGTGTGCCAAATTTGAAATATTTGGGATGAAATTTGGCATGCTTTCTGTCTGACCTCTTTTTTTTTTTTCTTTTTTTTTTTTTTTTTTTTTTTTTTTTTTTTTTTTTTTTTTTTTTACGCTATAGTTTAAAATCTTTAGCTGTTTCCGGGAATAGAGTATGGAAAAAACATGCTGGTTATCTGTGCAAAAAATAAGTATGTTTCACATCTGCTTCACTAAGATGCTTTGTCACCTTTGTATATTGGAGTATGTACTCGAAATGTGGGAGAGCACTTTTCCCGTGACAGAGATGCCCATATCCTTCTACAAAAAAACACATACGTTTGACCAAATTGCAAATCTTTAGAACCTTTGCCTTTGGAAAAAGCATAGTAAACACTTATAAGTTGCTTGTTAAATTCACTGACCATCCCATTTGTACTCATATGCTTCATTGTAGGGGTTGAAGAACAAAGCAGGTCTTATCCTGCTTTTGATACTTACGGTTACTGAAGGACACTGGAAGTTTGAACAGAAGAATTGAGAATAAACATGATTTATGTGAGGACAGAAACTTCCTGAACAAACGTGACACGATGGAAGTGGTAGACTGGGATTTGAAGTAGGATGGGTGACAACTGATAATATTATAGGAAGGTGGAGAGACCTAAGGGTAAAAGACTAACGTTACATGTAGTTGGTTAGGTGCAAGTAAGGAGAATTTGGGATTAAATAGCCAAAGAGAATAAAGAGGAAATCCCCATAAGAGACCAAAACTGGGTGCTTGGAGCAGGAACCTGGAGTATGGGGCCAGGAGACAGAAACTTAGGATAAGATTCTACTCATATAAATGTAACTTTGCAAAAGATGTCTAAACTTGCAGCATAGACTTCTCTGTATGAGTACCAGGGAATCGCTTCTATGGGAAGTGATTTTACTCGTCTACTCTAGAGGCTTAACTAAAAGTGGGAAGGAAGGACCTGTGTAGTAGGAAGAGGCAAACACTTGACTGTAAAAGAGGCCTAATAGCTGGCATAGGTTGAGTTACTTTAATTTTAAATGGCTGAATTTTGGGTAAGCTGAATCCCTCCTGTAGTTGAAATACCCAGGCAGAGGAGTGAGACTGGCTGGGCATGAAGACAGAGACTAATCGAGCGGAAATGCAGAACTAGAGCTAGGACAGGGATTGGGAGGAGGGCATAAAAGCAGGGAGGGGAGAAGCAGTTGAGCATGGCTGGATAGCATGTTAGACAATATTCCCTTGCAGAATCAGGAGCGAAAAACAGCATTATGGGCATCTCAGAGCTCTGCCGGTAATGGAAATCCATTGGCAAATCATATACCATAGGCTTCCTCACAGAGTAGTGGTAACGCTGACCTTTATTGAGTTTACATGGACTCTTTTAATGCCTGTTAGAGTTTGAGATCTACAGAACCTCTGCAGGGCATGTTAAGTTTGGACAGAATCCATTTGAGGTTTGGAAAAGGGAGGGGGAAGCTTTCCTTTTACAGAAATAAAAATGCAGCTGAAGCTTTGATTTGTGGGAGGAAGTCATACTTGAGATGTAGTTGGAAAAAGTTGGCCACAGGAGTGGGCATTATAGAGGAACTGGTATAAAAGAATTAACTAGATAGTTTCTTCTGTGCAATTTTTGCTGTTGCCAGATGTCTGCAATGAGCATCTGCATTAATTTCAGTTATTGAACAAGGGACTGTTTATTACAAGTTAAATAAAATTGTGCATGCAAACATCTTTCACTAACATTTTCCCATTTCTTATTGTGAATTTAAGCACTACTGACATAAATATCCTAAGACGATTTTGTTGTAGGCTTCTCTTTGTAAATCAGTTTCATTTCAACATTATACTGCATGCTCAGAGCAAAAATCAGCTGGGAATGGAGGATCAGGAGCTGCTTTTTTGATATGTTAGGTATCCAAATGTAATATTGCAGCAGTGTTGAATTTACTTTACATAAATTATTTTGAGCGTTTTCTTACTTAATGAAGGGTTTCAAGAACTTCAGTGTGTGCTGCCTTACATAAATGGATCCATTTTCTGTTGAATAAGTTTTAGAATGTTTTTTGGGGGCTTAATGATCTTTCAGTTTTTCTAGAAAATAAAAATAGCTCTCACCAATTACAAAATCACATAATACTTATAATTACAACAAGATGATATTTTTATACAGAAATTTTAATTGAAATAGCTTAAATATCTTCAATGATAACCTCTTATGGTTATTTTCTTGTATTCTATTTTGAGCTGTAGTCGATTTGCTTTATTTTATTCAAACAGACAACTCTTATATGAGTAAAGACCAGCATGGTTCATCATCTGAGAGTGAAGATGAAGCACTGGGTAAATATCATGAGGCCTTGTCTAGAACCCAGAGTTCCAGGCTGCCAGTGGTGGATGGCAGACAACAAAAAAACTATGTATGGGAAACCAGACAAAAATATAGTCCCCTGTCTGCAGAATATGATGGATACAGTAGTGAAGCCTCAATAGATGAAGGTAAGAGTGATTTAAAAGCATTCCTTTTATTACAAATTTCAGAATTATGTTCTGGATAAGTAAGTCCTAGATGAGGACAGCTTGACTTGCAAATAGTCAATGTCTACAAGAAATATCCAGATACCTTTTATATTTGTGCATGCTCAAAAAAAGGCACAGACTTCTGCGCATTCTTCCGGAAATACTACAAATGATATAGTATCTTGTTATGTTAAGTTTCATACAATTTTATCATTAGTCATTTTATTTTGGGGGGAATTTAAACTGTTTTTATTTAGGAAGGAAACATGGCAACTCTTGATGAATTCTGTGGTATTGTAAATACAAAGACCTGTTATTCCTCTATTGATAAGCTGACATAACAGCAAAGTAAATGGAATTGGTTATTGCTTATGGTGCATATGGTCATTGCAGTGTGCATTACTGGAATGTTCTGTATCTTTTCTTCTCTTGAAATCACAGAAAGAAATTACTACAAAGATTAGATTAATATAATTTTTTCTATGGAGTTAAAAGTTGGATGTAAACAATGGATGTTTTCTTTTGTGGTATATATTTGTTAAGTTAGGGTGACAACCTGACATAGAGGCTGAGAATTCTGCTGTCAATATTTTATCAATATACTTTTTGTGCTTGAAAATAGTATGTGAGAACTGTGTCTGTAGTCATTTTCTAGCATGAAAAGTGAGCTTTGGTTGAAGTTACATAAAAGTCAGATTCTAATATAGATGCTGTGCTATAGTAAGATATTTGTTGGTCTCCCTTAACATGTTAAAATGAAAAGGTTTTTTGGAGATTAATATTTTCATAATAAAAAGTAGATACATGTAATTAAAAGTTCTGTACAGTCCAGAAATGCTTGAAAAAATTTATATTTTCTACTATATTATGTACTTCAATTATATAAAAGTGTTTGCCACTGAAATTTTAAACAGTGCATGCTCATTCATGATTCCAAGTTAAGACACAAAGGACATGAAAGCCATAATTGAAGTAAGTTGCAGAGTAAGAAAGAGGATTATTTTCTGATCATCAGAAATTTTGGTTCTTTCCTTTGCTGTTAAATTGTAGGGAGGCTAGGGAAGGAGATGCAGAGGGGAGGTCAGGTGGTAAGAACAGATCCTTGGACACTGTGATGGAGAAGGACTACAAGGAAGAGGGATAGTGAAAGTATCATGTTTGTTTTTTATATCTACTGAGATCTATCAACAGCGTTGATGGGAATATAAAAGATAAGATGCTAATTTTTTGTATGGCTCATGTCACTATTGGGAAAGAATGGTGATTTATATTAACAGAAGATGGAAAACTCAGTTGTATTTATTAGCAAATAATACCAGATACAAATCTTACAAGATGACTACTTTCAGATACCGAGAATGATGTATTTGTCTCTTCTCAAACTATTGAGGCTGCTTGTTGAAATAATCATAGAATAGTTCCTATGGGAGGGAACATGTGACGTGTCTCTCTCTATTTCACAGTTCAGATTTTTTTATCCTGCCTAGTTATCTTCCTTCTCAGTGAAAAGGTCTCAGTTCATCTGAGCTTTTTACTTTGGGTCTATAAGACTTAAGCTCCAAAGGCGTTGTACTAGCCTGTATCTGGGGTTTTTTTGTTTGTTTTTTTAATAATTGTCTTCCTTATCATCCTCTCAGATCATAAAAATTTATAGTCACTGACTTTTATCCTCTTCTGGGGAATGAGAACTCCAGTCTGGAAATCTATATCATGGTTAGAATCTAAGACAAAAGAACCCTGTTGGCAAGTCCAAGTATTGCATCAGGAAAGTTATAATTGTTTTGCCCTCCTCCTGTTTCATTTTTTTCTTCTATTGCTAAAGATATCTGTCACCAGCTGCTACCCCTTCTCAATGCTCTTTCCATTCAGGAAGCTGGCTGGATGTAAAACCCATGTACATATATGCACACACATATTCACTCTAAAATTACTATGCAAATTGAATTTTTTATAATGAAAGAACATTCAGGGTTTGGAAAAAAACTTTTAAAGCAAAAACTGTCAAAACTTTCTAACTTAGAAAACTGTAAATTTTTAACCCCATAGTTTTACTTGCAAAAAAGCTTGAATACTGTCAGTATTTTGCTTTTGCTGCTGCTTGTGAGAGCATTCTCCTCCCACGTTTTACCAGGAGTAGAGAATCAGCAATGTTATTTATTTGATAGCCTGCAATCATTCTACAGTTTTCTGCAAAATGCTTGCAAACTAGAGTGATGATTTTGTCTAATTTTTGTAATCCATTAATCTCAACAAAATTATGTTCAGTAGTATTAAAGAGTTTTGTGGTATTGGACGTGGCAACAAATTAACAATCAGTATTTTTCACTTTTCAGTGACCTAAAGGTGGCACACTAGAATAATTAGTGTTAGTACTTTTTATGTTCTTCCTAAATTATTTCAAACATAAAGAATCTTTGCACAATGATAAAAATGTGTTTGAATAGAGGAAAATACAGAATATGCCTTGTTATGTTATGATCATTACAGAGCTGCCCAACCTAGAACTTTGATGAAAAGAGGAGGTGGAAACCTCATGAAGAAAGCCTGAAGTCAAAAATAAATGATAGACTGGCTATCGCTACCAAACAGTTCATATGTGTTCAGTTCACTGAACAGAGGAGGTTAAAAATCTCTGATTCCAAATGGAGAGTATCAACATTCTAGATGTTTCAGTGTAATTTTTAAAAATGCAAAGCTTTACTGTTCCTTAAACTTGCAAAATAAATCTGTAGAAGACTTGATGCTGTAGAAATCCTGAAATTTTTATTAAATAGTTAGTTTTTATGACTTGAATTATTTTTATAAGAAGTGTAAAGACAAATGATAGAACCATTTCTTGATTCTTTGTAGCAGAGGGGGAGCAAGCAGTGTGTTCCTATGTACGTTATTTCATACGAGAAAGAATTGTCAATATATTTGACTTTTGTGTGCTTCTGTTTGCTCATATGTACTTTATCATTTCTTCTTCTAAGACTTAAATATTTCAGCCGTACTTCCAGCTTAAGGCACCACGCAGTCCATATGTTGAGCAGGGCTTGATAGTGTTACAGTGAAGTGATGAGAGGAGAGAATTCTTTTTTTTCTCATCTCTCTTTTCCCCCTGCTCATCGCTAGTAAATCAGACTCTGATGATATCATTAAAAATTCCATCAGAGGTAAAGTAATATGAGCAATGAAAATGATATTTCATTTTAGGAAAATTCTGTGTTATTTTGTCTTCAGCAGTTAATCTCTGTCACATTGTATCTTGCAACAGTGTGCTCTGTGTTTTCAAAGGAGTCAATAAACAGTTTTACTAATAACTGTTTGCTCTGCACTTTAATCTTCACTTTTAAAATTTGTTTAGGCATGTCTGCACTTAACAATGCACATGCAAAATTTCACAATGAGACAAAAATATAATCTTGCCTTTATTAATACACCCTGTAAGCTTTGCTTGCATTGCTAAAATCATGTGTAATATTAATGTGTTTGCATTACAAAATTTCTGATCATATTATTATAAGGTTCGCTTATTATCAATTACATAATTAGTTTATTACATCTATTTTCTGGCTGCATGCCTCTCAAAATGTTTCATTCTAAAGCCTGAAAATGTGTGTGGCATGTTTTCACATCATTCTTTTCTCCTCTAGATGGCCATACTAATCTTCCTTTTCAGCATATTTATATAGAACTGACATGGCATTTTGTATAATGTTTTTAATAGTTAAATGAAGAAAGTAATATATTTTTGGGGTTTTGTTGGTGTGTTTTGATGATGGAATGTTCCAGTAGTGCTTGAGTTCATTCTATGAAATTTAGATTTTTTAAACTTTGGTTCACAAATACCTGCTTATGACCAGTGTCTGATCCACTTCATATATTCATATAGCACATTCGATGCACTTAGATTTTGATAAGTTATAATATATATTTTAAATGGAAAAAAAATTCTGCTTAGATGCAAGTATTCCTACAGACTCCGAGCTATTGTAAATATATAACTTTTGCAGTGAGCTCCTCATGGACAGGCTTAATATCAGAGTATCTCTAAAGGAAAATCTAGTTCATTAGAAAATCAAGATGATGACAAATGTCGTCATCAAAAGTAAAATGGTGCAGAATGGCAAAGTAAATGGTACAGATGGCAAAATAAAATGGTACAGAAGATAGGTTTACATCTGAAATTTCCAACTCTGCACAAATGACTCAAAACTGTTAATCACAGAAAAGATTATAACTACAGTATTTCTTGATAGCTATGTGTGGACTTAACCCAGTCTCTGTGCTAAGGCCCACAGTTCTAGAGTCAACTCAAAGTTTTAAATCTTATTTTTTCCAGTAATATTCTTTGTGTTCTTTCTCATGTGATCCAGTAAAGTGTGGATACTACTGACGTGACCTTTTTCTTTTTCCCTGATACATATCCTGATGTCGATTCCTTTTCATTTTTTATAATGTGCATCCTACTTCTTGTATTATTCCCTACCATTTCAAATGCTCTTATTATCCTGTTGAATATGTAGTATTGCCTTTATGTGCTCCAATTATTTGTAATATTTTGGAAGAGGGGATTAATATAGGCTGTGATATACATCTGCTTCAGAAAATAAAGAACAAAAGTAAGGAAAAAAAAACCACAAAAAAACAAAAATAACACCAGAAGATATTTCTGCTAAAAAGGAGATTATGAATTGAAATAGTGATCTAAATAAGGAAGTGTACAAACTTTACATTTAAAATTGGCATTATTCTTTGTACTTTGGAATTATTTTTTAGCATCTATATCGGTCGTGATCTTCAATGGACCATTTCTTAATAACTTCAATTTCAAAAAAACTTACAATATGATATTAAACTAGCCTCTTTGTCTCCAGTAGTGGCTATTTTCTGAACTCTAAAAACTCAAGCATTATACAAGCAAGTTGTTGTGTCTTTTTTATTTCTATAAGCGTCATATGCAAGTACAATATATTTTCTTTAAGGAAGCAGTCCCT